GGTAATACAAGTTTACCACACATGTTTGGAGAAACCATGTGCTTTAAGAAGATGCACCCAGCGACAGATTGTGGTCTTGCCGTCCAAGCGCCGGTGCACTTCAGGGCGCAGCCATATTGAATATGAAGTATTTGCACTTCAACTCGAACCACAAACCACTTCACCAGTCATTTCACTAACCACTTCACCACTTCCAACTTCCACCCAAGAAACCTATGTTTTGTTTGTGGTGGTGCCCCAAAGTAAGGGTTTTTTCTGAGGTGATGGCTCGGGCAAGCTAGAGCAAGAATCGACGAAGTGCTGTGTCACAAAAGTTTCGCACAAAAGGGGTCAATGCCATTTATTTGATTTGTCACCAGAAGGGTTCATCAGGTTTCACAACTTTTCACGTTCCACCCTGACTCGCGACCCGGCCCGTCGGAGCTCGATGCCCTATGGATCTTCTGTTGCTTCACGCCGATCCTACAAGGTACGCACCGCCCTTCTGATCTGATAGAGAAGCGAAGAGAAACCAACAAACACTCAAAGTTCCATTTGTTTTGTTTAGTGGGTGAGGTTTCAACAAATCTTACCGGCAATTAGTTCACTGGCCCACTATATCGAGACAACCCTGTTTGGTCCATGGCATATTTGTTGAAACCACACCCTATGAGCGGACAAGTGCACATTTGAGTGGCTCGTGGAACCTGATGGCACGACCGCAGTGTTTGGGCTTCGAAGACTGGTCTCGAAAAATGGGGAAGGTAGTCAAGCTACCGAAGCCTAAAAGGGATCAGGTGGCTGAGTCCACAAAGGCTTTGAAGAAAGCCAAGAGGGCTACGAAGAAGCGTGAACCTAGGGTTCCAAAGTGCACCTTTGCTCCGCAACGAACCCTTTGCTCCAAGTTCAGCCTTTTGCTGCTTGGCGCTGACAAATGAGGAATGAATCAAGGCTGCAAACGCAACGTTGAGTCCTACGTGTTTCTCTAATGATCAATCGATTAGTGTGAAATTGAACTGATCCCAGGCTTGGGTACCTGATGCATAGTGGTTTGCCCTACGCTATGTTGAGCATGGCTGAGTTGGTGCTATCCAACATGACGAAGCCTGAAGTGGACTCACGGTTGCATTTACTCTAGGGCCCTGCGCGCCTTTGTTGTTGGGGTGAGACCAAGAAATTCCTGTTGATCTCTTTGTGAGACCTTTGTTGAGCTCTTTGGGCACCGCTGTTCCAAGGGGTTTGCATTCAGGACTTGGACGCTGTCGAGTACTTCGCTGGCATCAAGACAGTGTATGGTGGATTCCGGCAATCTGATTGCATTCATCAACATAAAGATGGCATTCTTCAACTGATTGTTTACCAATATATAAGATGGCGCTATTTTGTTTCTCTTTCTTTTGTTCTTAGCTGTGCTTCAGGTTCCTCTTATGCTTTCTCTTGTTAATTTTAGTTTCTTCAGGTTCTTGGGTGCCTCAGCGATGTCCTACGAGATGAAAGACTCTGGCCCCGGGGGCATTCAGGATATACTCTCACCGCTGGGGTTTGCCTACTGCTTGAGCCTAGCTCTGAGAACCTACTTCAAAGTGCCTTGGATTTAAAGCTAGGCTTTCATCTATTGCATTCATTCAAGTTGATCATTGAAGTTGAAAATGCTTCTTTCAGGGATTTATGGAAACGCAGTCTTTCATCTCGTTTGCTAGGCTGGGATGACCTTCTGGGCACCGGTCTGCTCCACTTGGGTTTGGATCAACAGGCCAGCTGCTACCAGATTGGTGCACACAACTTCAAAAGTGCATAGTAAAGTAGAATCGGGGTCAAACATCAAAGGTCTGCACCAATGCTCGCGCCGCTGATTCACATCGCCCATGATCAGGAGCGCCAGTGGCAGATCCTCATCGCGGCCGTTGGGGAAGCTCTGGGTTCCATGCGTGCAAGCTGCGAAGCTTGGCATCGAACATTAGGTGGAAGGGGTCCGTTTTGGGAATGCTATCAGTGATCAATCGGTGGTTTTCGTGATCAATCCCATCTGACGGCCCATTGCATGTGGGGTAGGAACCTTTCTGTGAACACATGTATCGCATGGGCATCTAAAGTGCGCTGTATCAATACTGCAGGGTTTGCAGCTCCCCTTTTTGTCACCCGTTGTGCTGGCAGCAGTGTGTGGAGCTATGGCTTCATCTTCAGAGGAGGCTTCATTGTGTGATGACGTTCGATATGTCAAACAGCTCCAGCGGTGTGGAGAAACCCTATGGGACAACATGCCACAATCTGTGAAGGACCCTCCAAAAGGTGAAAAACAAAAGAGGTTTGACTTTGCAGTGCATGTGGCAAGTCATGGTTGCTTCCCTCTCCACTGTTATGAATCCATTGCGCCCGTGCCATTTGGCAGGACAAGGCCATTGCTATTGTTGGGGAGGTGGCCGAGTGTGATATCTTGCAAGGCGAGTTCACCTCTACATGTGGGGAAGAGGAAGTGCCCCTCAGGATCAACTAGACTTAGAATAGACCATCAACAATCAGTTGAGGGAGTCATGGAAACGTCTAAGAAACTTTCTCTGTTCAATTGAGGCTGAAGAACAAGTGGGCCATTGAGACATTCCTTGACTTCTCGCCCTTCTCCTTCCGCTGCCCCTCCAAATGTGAGACAGGTGTTGTGTGGCGAGCTTTCAATTTGGCATCGAAGGTGCCTATAGTGAGGGTATGGTTCAATGTGCTTGCATCAATGGAAAGGTGTCATCAGTGTGGGTCAGAAACAAAATCTCTTTGTGTGCAGGGTCTTGCCATTCAATCCACCCCACAGCTTACTGTGGAGCAGCGGATCCAGATTCTTACAGTGAAAACGCGGAAGCTCTGGTCTACTGTGAGAAGGACCGATCCACAGTGTGTTTAACTGTTTGTTTCATTGAACATTTGCAGAATTCTAAAGCAGCTTGTTTTGCTGCAGTTTGTCTTGGTTTGCTGCAGTTTATGGCGAAATTCCCGGTTTTCATCGCGCAGTCCACATACCCAGCTTTTGAAGAACAAGATGAAAGAGAACAAGCAAAACGATGAGGCTTGCGTTTGCAAGTGGCATGTATACATATCATGTATATATGTATCATACACCATGGTTGCATCCTGCGCAGGCAAGCAGTGATTCTGGCTCCGAGAGTTCCAGTGGCAGTGAGGATCAAGCTCTTTGGGATAAGGCCCCTGTTGTTACAGTTTGCCATGTTCAGAAAAAGACTAACTTCTCCACTGCACTTAGACCAATCCATTGGGAGTTAACACCAATGCGCCTGCATTGCAGGTCTTGCCGCCTGCAGGGACTGTCGAGGAAGGCAGTTCGAGCGCGACTTCAAAGCCAACAGACGAGGCTGCTTCTGATCCTGAATCGCCTGAGGACTTTGCGGCATATCAGGTGGTGCCACATGAAGACTCAGTGCCACATGCAGACTCAGATCCCGAGTTTGCAGCTCACAGCCAGGTGATGCCAGTCATCCCCCTTGACGTTGATGACTCTCAGCATTCAGGAACTGAGGAGGCTGCGCGTGGTCTGGATGCAGAAGGCCATCACATAGCTATGGCAGAGCATTTCCTTGAGCCCTCAGTTCCTTGGTTTCAAATCCTCCACTTGCACTTACATACATGTGTCTCTCCCTGCGCCCATACATTTTGAATCCTTTTTTCGGTTCTGTGATAGGTTCCAGATGGCTTCGACAATGCGGCCAAAGACATCTGGACAAATCCACCTTCTCCATTGCTCTTGGACCCCAAGAAGAAGAAGGAGAAAAAGAAGAAGAACGGGGCAGGCGTTTGTTTTGAGTACGGTGCCACTGGTTGTCCTATGTAGACTGTTGCACGTGCAGTATCAAATATGTAAAAAGAACGTGCAGTTATATATATATATATATGTACAATGCGTGGCATAATTGTGCGCATGCAGGCAAACGGAAATCTCAATCACCATCGGCCACCTCTGCGAAGAAGCACAAGGTGGAGAAGAAGAAGAGTGAGTCTACCACGCCAGACCGTTCAAGACTTAGTTACTTAGTTGCGAATGCGAAGGGGTTCAAGCTTCAGCGGTGCAATCTGTGCTGCTGGCGCTTTCCGCTGTTGTTCAGGTGGAGTGGAGGACGAGGTCATCGCATCCTTTGATGAAAAGTATCAGGACACGATCAAGCAGCTTATACCGCCCGAGCTGCACCCGACTTCAACACGCCATGGTGCACACAGCTACACAAGGCATCATGATGTGCATAAAGACATCCTATCAACCATGAAGGCATCCTCTCAATCATGATTGCACCAAGAGTGGTCAAGTGTATTTGATTTGACCTTATTTATTTTGTGGCTTCTCGACCGGTATCTATCTATCTATCTATCTATCTGTCTACCTATCTATCTATCCATCTATCTGTCTATCTATCTATCTATCTATCTAGCTATTTATCTATCTATATTTATCTATCTACCAATCTATCTGGCTATCTATCTGTGATGTGCCCTTGCAATCCGCCAGTCCACCCCAGGCGGCTGGGGAAAGCGCGTGTCGAAGTTCTTCTTCGTCAACGAGGCCTCAAGCCGAAGGCAAATTGTCAAGGAGAGGCTATCAGTTGCCCATCCATTAGCTTTGCCAATGGGAACGAGCAGTCAGCTTTCCAGAAATGTTTCAAGCTGATCGGCTTGTCGAAAGATGAGTAGATACTTCTGGGAGAGTTTCTTTTTGGGGTTTCAAGATCTAGCACATGGCATTGAATGGGGAAGCAGTGCATATGTCTATACAGTCACTTAGCCTCCGTGTCTCTTAGCCCCGCTCATAGCCAGCTGGATCTGCAGGGTCTGAAGTGGACAGGCCTCAGTCATTGACAGTGACCAAGAAAAAAGAATTGTCTTTCGCATTTGTGTATCACGCATACAAGAAGTATACAGTATACCTTCCTGTTGCCATCCCCCTAAGCATCCTGTTGAAGAGAGGGCCCCTTGCATCCAGTAGAAACGGGCAGTCTAAGTGCAGTATCGGCGGCAGTCCAAGGAATACGATGGTGGCGCGGGTATGTCTTGTGCTCTCCATCACATGCAGCCTCCACCTACCGTTTATCCTGGAGCAACCTAGCTCTAGCCTCATGGAGCTTCATCCAGCATTTCGCTGGTTGTCGAAACAGTTCAAGATTTACCGCATATTCGTGTGGCTTGGTGCTTACGGGGGCGGGAGCGCCTAGACTGCATATATACATATATATATATATACAAGTGGCCTGGAGACCCTTTTTTTGTTAAAGAAAACAGGTCTCCAGGCCACTTGACAAAATTGCCATCTGGACCTTCGGTGATGAGTCTACAAGAACGCCATAAGAACACCAATTTGTGGCCAACAGTTCTTGCATCATGGCGCGTCCCCGAAAACGGAGAGCGTGCCCTAGGCCCAAAGGGCACTTGGCTCTACTCCAACTACAAGGAGCTCCTCTCGCCGCTCTACTTGCCTTTGCCCAAAGACAAGGTGTGGGATGCAGAAATGAGCACGAAGATACTGGTCTTAACCAAAAGACACCAAAAGACCATTTGTATCATGTGCCTTGTATATCATACTTTACTTGGGTGAACTGCCTGGGTGAATGTCTAAGGAGTGTGAACTCCGATGGCACGCTCTCCGTAAGCGGCGGGAAGGATCTCAAAACGAGCCAACACTACCCGATTCTCTTCGGGCGCACAGTGGCGGAGGTGGTCATGCAGAATCATGAGAGCATCTACAATAATGTTTACAAGAGGAGGCGGGGTCTACAATCATATCCTTCAACAAAAAATCCTTCAACTACCTTCAACGGGTATCCAGTCTTGGATGTTCTGTAACATTTCCCTTCGATATCGCAGGGTGGAACTCATGAAGGAGCACCAGCCAGAGATGAAGGACACATTCACGGCTTCACGGGTTATTCACGGATTCATGGGGTAATTCACGGATTCACGGGTTGTCAGGAAACATTCACGGATTCACGGGTTCTTCAAGTATATACATTTTCAATCTTTTTCATAATTTAAGGCTATATATATTATAATATATATATATACCTGCCCCGCCGGCCAGGATTCACTCCGCTGGGCCACCATTGCCAATCTCAGGCCGGTGCAGATCGAGCTTCTTCAGAAGCATCCCATAGCCTGAGGCCACGCTAGCTGCTAGGATCCCAAATTCAGGAGTCATGCCACCACTGGGCTGAATTTTTTTTGAGTTTGAAGTACCCCGTGAACCGTGAATTATCCGTGAAATACCCGTGAAAACCCGTGAAAATTCATGGGTTTTGAACCTTTGATGTTTTGTGCCGGAATCAGCCCGGTTTGGTGGAGTTCCTGGTAATCTTGTCACAGCCTTGGCATTCCATGTCTGAAGGTTCACACTTGCAAAGTGCAACTTTACCAATTTGGTAGAGCGCAAAAACATGCTGGGTTGAATTGGGTCGCATAGCTCGACAGTCTTTGAGTCCCGGCAAGAATCGACATCGTTCTTCGGCGGCATCCATGGTCAGCGCCTCAACGCAGCCAGTGCTGTTGCTTGCAAGGGTGTAGCTAGCAGTAGGGTGTGCCATAGCCATGGCAAAGACCCTAGAGGGTGAACAGAACAAGATAGCTAAGAAGCGACAGGAGTCTTCTGGTGCATCAGCACCCCGCCTTCGTTGTCGGGGAAAGACCCCGGACCCTAGTCGTGGGAAAAGCCCGGATCCCAAGAAGTTGAAGCGGGCTGAACAGAAAACAAAGGAGAGTAAGCACAAGGAAACTGAAGGTATTTTGAAGCGTCCTGTTGCCACACCCGCGAGAAAGACTCCCAATCCTTCCCCGACTCAGAAGGCTATCACTCGGAAGCTTAGCTTTAGTGAGGCGGACAAAGTTTCTCTCATCGAGGCTGAGAACCCACCACCTCGCAAAGGTAAAGGTACTTCATCTAGTCGTGGGATGAGTGAAGAGGAGGCTGAGCGGATCCTGCAATCTATGACCTCAACGCCCAAGGTGCGCGTCTCAGCACCACAGTCCTTAAACGTCTTCAATGTACATTGGGTGTGTCCCATTACCTGTAAACAACCAAAAATAATGATTGCTATTTTAGAGAAGGGTTTTATCAACCATACAGGGAATGGGATACACACAATACATATACTTTGTATGTCAATATATTGTACCCATATACTTGCACACATGCACTTCTAAGCATTCCTGCGCAGGATGATGCATCTTCGGTGGAGAGTGGTCCCGAGGAGCCTCTGCAGCTCTTCGTGTTCATGCCTTGCTCTCACATTGTCGCAGGACTCTTCCGACTCTGAAAGCTCTAGCGCAGAAAAGGAGGAAGACCAGGAAGAAGAAGAAGAAGAAGACGAGGAGATGTCAGAACAGGAAGAGGAAGAAGAGCAGCAAGATGAGGACGAGAGCTCAGAAGGGGAAGATTCAGAAGACACCGAGGTGGGGACCGAGACAGTGACAACCTTTTTGACCTTCCTAGAAGTGTGTTGTTGTTAGCTTCCTTCGGTTTGGTCAAGGTATTCCCAATAACCGACCTACGGCGATGGATGAAGCCTGGTTCGATTTGGCCCTATCTGGAGGCCTTGGAGAACGACAAGGCAGCGACAGAGGCCCGCAAGGAGGCTGAGGAGAAGGCCCGCAAGGAGGCTGAGGAGAAGTCTCGCAAGAAGCAGAACGACAAGAAGGCAAAGAAAGATGAAAAGCAGAGGAAGAAGGCAGAGGAGGAAGCTCAGAGGAAGAAGGCAGAGGAGGAAG